AGTAGAACCTTTAGAGTACTACTAATAACTACTAGAGCTCTAGAGGTAGCTAGTTAGCGCCTTAGAATATATTTAGAAATAAATCGCAGGCTAATTTTATGTAAAAATCGCGTTACTCTAGATAGTTTAGCTTTAATTTATAATTATTAACTATCTCGTATACAAATTTAGCGTTAAGCTAGTCTTTAGCGTTAAGCTATTTAGGGCTAAGAGGTAGAACCTCTTAGCGCGTTAAGTAAGTAGAGACTTCGACGTTCTACTAAAAATTAATTAAGTATAATTAGAATTAGGTACGATTAGGTATAATTAATTAGCTAATTAGACGATAGAATTTTATACTACTATAGGGCTGCGGCTAATTAGAGTACTGCGCAGCCTCTCTAGCTACAGAATATTAAAAGTTCGAAAACTAACCTGCGCGCCGCAGCTAGCTAGCAGCTTGCCTACGCCTGCTTACCTACAACTACGCTCTGCGCCGCGCTCGCTTAGCTTTGTATAGCCGTCGCATATATTTCTAAGCAATTCTAGCGCAAAACGCAGTAATAATACGGCGCTAGCAGGCGTTGCAAGTGCCTACAGAGAGCTCTTAGGTGCCTAAGGGCGCTAGCGGTGCCTAAGAGCGCTAGCGGCGCGGATTAGCAAGTTAGGAATTAGTAATTTAGTATTAGTTTAGGTATTAGTTGCTAGCTTTACTATATACAGCTAGCGTGTATAGCTACTAATTAGAGCCTACTATAGCTCTATAAGCTACTATAGAGCGCTCTAGCTATAGAATATTAAAAATTTAGAAATTCTACGCTATCTATAGTGTTAGTTAAAATCTAGAAAGCTATACTTGTAGCTAGCTAGCTAGCTAGCCTACGCGCGCCTACCTATAACTACGCTCTACGCCGCGCTTACTTAGCTTTATATAGCCGTCGCATATATTTCTAAGTAATTCTAGCGTAATAGGTAGTAATAATACAGCGCTACTAGACGTTATAAGTATATCTACAGGCCTAAAGTTATTTAGAAGTAATTTATAGAGTAACTATAACTAGATATACTAGTATATCTAGCTATAACTTTATTAGCTATATACTTACTTAATTTTATATAGCTATCGTATATATTTGTAAGTAATTCTCGCGTAATATATATTAATAATATTATAATTTCTACGCCTTATAGCTATTATAGAGCTGTCTATAGCTAGCTTTCTAAAGTTTTAGTATTTCTTACTAAGAGTACTAGTAAAAGCTTACTTATATAGACTTAGCGTCTTTCTAATTAAAAATAGCTTTTTCTTTTATCTTATATTAGGTAACTTACTATACCTTCTAATTATTTATAAATAATTAGCTCTATATATTATATATTTATAGTTAGAGAAAAAAACTCTAGAAAGATTTTTTTAAAATTCTATTTCTTATTATACTATATCTAGAAAAGCTAGCTCTATAGAAGTTTTTTAAAAATCTTTATTATATTATAAATATTATATACTATAAGTTTTATAGATTATTATAAAGATATAGTAGTACTTACTAGAAATAAACTAGATTTTTTTTTAAAAGTTAGTTAAATATATATAGCTTTTTAATTATATTATATATCTTAGTATAACTTTACTATAAGATATAATATACTATAATATACTTTACTACTAATATACTTTATTATTAAATTCTCTATATTATTAAACTCTCTATAATTTCTTAGTAATAAAAATTAACAAAAATTAACTTATTTTTCTTAAATAACTAAGCTAAACCTTAATATTTTTCTATAAAAATTTATATATATATTCTCTATAGTATATTATACCTTATAGTAAAGTTCTACTAAGATATATTACGTAGTTAAAAAGCTATACGTATTTAACTAACTTTTAAGAAAAATCTAGTTTACTTCTAGTAAGTACTATTATATCTCTATAATAATATATAAAACTTATAGTATATAGTATTTATAACGTAATAAAGGTTTCTAGAAAACTTCTATAGTACTAGCTCTTCTAGGTATAGTGTAATAAGAGATAGAAATTTATAAAAAGTCTTTCTAGAGTTTTCTTCTCTAACTATAGATATATATTAATAATCTAGCTATATAAAGTTATATATTATAAGATTATATATACTATAAGCCTACTATATATTTAGAAGTAATAATTTTAAGATAGTTCTAGTATCTTTCTATCTTTCTATACTATACTACTAAAAAGAGTTTACTTTTAAATAACTACTTAAAGCTACTATATTATTAGTTTATAAGCTCTATATAGTTAAAACTAACTATAATATATAAAATAATATATTTATAGAGCTAGATTAACTATATATATATATATATAGTTAGAAGAAGAAAGCTTTAAAAAGAAATTTTTCTAACTTCTATCCCTTATTATACTATACTTAGAAGAGCTAGCGCTATAGAAGTTTTCTAGAACTCTTTATTATAATATAAATACTATATACTATAAGTTTTATATATTATTATAGAGATATAATAGTACTAACTAGAAGTAAACTAGATTTTTTCTTAAAAGTTAGTTAAATACGTATAGCTTTTTAATTACGTAATATATTATAGTATAACTTTACTATAAGATATAATATACTATAAGAAATATATACATAAATCTGTTAAGAAATATATTAAGGTTTCGCTTAGTTATTTAAGAAAAACCTATTAATTTTCGTTAATTTTTCTTGCTAAGAAATTGTAGAGCGTTTAGTAGTATAGAGCGTTAAGCGTTTACTCTTTATAGACGTTAATATAAAGAAAATTATATATACTATAGAGAGTATAGTAAAGAGTAATATTACTAGATATTAGTTAAAAATACTAGTAGTAGTTTAATTTAATCTTTTTAAAAGTAATATTAAAATAAGAAATAGCTTTATAGATAATCTCTATTAACTAAAATAAGCTATTACTACTATTAAGAACTAGAGATACTAAGTATAGAATCTAAGAAACATTAATCTTATATTATATATTTCTAATTATAATTAGAGTTCTTATATATAATATAGTACTTATTTAGGCTAGCGTCTAATAAGTTTATATTAGATATACTTATTACTATAGTACTTACTAACCTTATACTAATCTCTTTTCTTTACTATTAGCTTATTATTCTTAGTTCTCTATTTTTTACTTTACTATTTTATATCTATACTTTCTAATAGAGTCTTCTTCTACTTATTAGTAATAATCTTTAACTTTATTCTACTATTATACTTAATAACTATAATCTAACTAGTACTATCTTTTACTACTTTAATAATTTAATTTAATAGATAGTCTAGACTATAAAGAACTTTTTAGTTACTTTTTTTCTAATTATAAATATTCTAGGTTATATCTTAGACTTAGATATTATTAAAAAGACTATTCTTATAGTAACTAATAGCTAGGTATAGAGTTTATAATATCTAAAGCTAAGCTATAGTTTTATTTATATTTAGACTTTTACTAGTAGCTTAAGTCTTAATTTCTAGAATAGAATAATAGTCTACTTTTTTTTTTAACTATAATTATAAATATATATATTAATATAGAAGTAAAGTTAGTAAGCTATAGTATTTCTAGTAACTATAATAGAGAGTTAGTTATTTTTATCTACTTCTAGACTATAGCTTACTTTAATATATTATTAATATATCTATTAGTTTTATATCTAACTATATATTATAAGCTACTAAAGTAAAAACTAGTAATTCTATAATATTTAGAAATTCTAGTTATACTTTTTATATATATTTTCTTAAAGTTATAACTATAACTTTAGAAGCTCTAAATAACTATAGTAGTCTTATTCTCTATATATATAAATAGTACTCTCTTACTATTAATAATTTTAACCTATATCTAAAAGAGTTTACTTAAAGTTCTATTAAGAAAGTAGAGAAGTTTTCTAATATTATTCTAGTCTATTATTATATTAATACTTTTTATATTAAAACTAGAATTCTAGATAAAAAGTATACTAAATAAAAGCTTAAAAAACGTATTAAGAATTTACGCTATATTTTTATTAATATATACTTATCTAGAGTTAGATTCTAGTTTTAGTAGTTTTACTAGTAGTAACTAAAGAAATAGAAAGCCTTTATTAGCTATTAAAATAAAATATTTAATAAGTATCTCTTCTAAATAGCTTACTAGATACTAAAATAATAGAGATATTACTCTTAAGCTAGCTATAAGAGATAAGATACTTAAACTTAGTAATTATTATATAAGTAGAATCTAAATAGTTACTTAAGTTAGAGTAAAATATTATAGTAATAACTTAAGAAACTATACTAGTACTAGGTAGATATTATAAGATAAAAGTAATAATTTTAAGATATAATAAAAGCTACTAAATTCTTAATAACGCGCTTTCTCTATAGATATTAGAGGGAATAGCTAACTTTAATTATTAGCTAATGTTCGTCTACACCTAAGCAGCGCATAATCTGCGCAACGTTGCATAGCAGAACCCGCTATCTGCTTGAGCTATGCTTTGTTAGAAGAGCGCATTGCCATTGGATAGACGTGAGAATGCCGAACAGGCATTCTGCACAGCCTGGCGTCGAAATACGAACGAATTCTTGCACTGCTGCAACGAAAATTGGATCGGATTGGGTTAGCGCCAGTTGGCCCATGCCAGCCGCCTTGGCCCGCCCTGGCCTGACGTCCCTTCCCAAAACGCAGCAACGGCAGCCCAGCCTGAGCTTCAACCACCGCCTCCGTAATGGCGACGAGGCCTGGAATCGGACCCCTGGCTTGAGGGCTGTGGCAATGGCAGCGTGCCTTGCAGAAGGAGGATGAGAAAATGGAGACGATCACGGTCCGGTCCGTCGTGGAGAAGGAGAGAGAATGGACGGCAAGCATAAAGAGAGCGGCTTGGACGCCGCAGACTCCACCAGCACACTCACTCACCTTGCTCTTCTTATGCCTCTCTCCCGCACGCCGCGCGCCTTTTCTTCTCCCATCCCCTTCCCCCTTCCCCTCTTCCGCCCTCCGCCATGTCCATCAAGGCCAAGAAGGTGGAGGAGGCTGGCGCCTCCCCCACGCCTCAGGACACCAAGCCCAAGAAGTCGCTGTTCGCTGGCATCAAGGATCGGGTAGCTGCTGTGTTCGCGAGCAATGCTCCCAAAACCGACGAAGATGGCAACCTGAAGCACCTCTACAAGCCCAAGATCGCCGAATCGACGCGGAAACAGCGCGACCGCGCTCTGCTGCTCTGGGACAGGTAAGTTCCGCACCCCTTCCCAGGCCACGCCCGCCGTATGGGACGCGAAGCTGATGCACATGCGTGCCGACAGATACATGCAAGAGTGTCATGCCGGCGTCAATGCCGACAATGTCTGGGTCGACCTCTGCCGGGGCTGTCCCGTCGCCATCCAGCACTGCTGCACTTTCCTCGAGATCCACGTCGAGGTGTCCAAGGTGACGCGGGTCGTGCTGGACGACAGAGAGGAGGTAGAGGAGCAGGCCATCAAATCCGCTCGCTCGCTCAACACCTTCTGGAAGTCCCTCATCGCTGCTGCCGACGCTGAAGTCCTCCTGCCCAAGCGCGAGTTGAGCCCGTCCAACCACTGCTCCGTCGATGAGGGGCCTGTGGCCTTGGTCAGCAACTGGATCTACCACGAGGGCGCCGAGAAAATGGGTCTGTCCACGAAGCCCGACTACAGCTGCGCGTCAAAAGTCTGGTTCGCTAAGCGAGAACGCGTTTTTACGCGTCATCCCACACCAAACTTCCACCCACCTACACAATGCCGCCACGACGTTCTTTTGGGCAAGAAATAAGCGGAAATCGCAGAAGGCATGCTGAATTATCTCCTAGATCGCGCGATTTAATTATCTCGAAGCATGAGGCTGGCGTTGGTAACGCGGAGCTGGCGGACGAATTCAGCTGCACAACGAAGTGTATACGCGACACTATCAAACGATTCTATACAACCGGCAGCAACAAAAGCAGAAGTCGCTCTGGCCGTCCTAAGCACTTAACGCGTCGCCAGATTCGATTACTATGGAGACTGGCTAGGTCCGCGCCGAAAATTGAGTACAATACCCTTATCACCGACGCTGGGTTCACGATACCGGATGGTCGACCTTCGAAGGCAACAGTGTACAGGGCTCTCAAACGCGAGGGCTTAAAGAACTTTAGGTGTAAAAAGAGGCCAAAAATCAATCGCGCGAGCGCTCTTTTACGCCTTAAGTTCTGCAGGGAGTATCGCCACTTCCGCTGGCGCAGGCGTACAGTCAAGTTTTCGGACGAGTGCTCAGTGCAGAAGACTTCTGGCAACAACACCGAGTGGTGCTTTCGATACCCAGAAGAGAAATGGAGACCAGAGATGATTACAGAGGTCCCTAAGTCTCGTCCGCCCGCGCAAATGGTATGGGCAGCGATATGGCTGGATGAACGGGGTCGCCCAAGGCGGAGTCCCTTGGTCATCATGGAACGCGACAACACCTCACAGCGCAATGGCTACACCACCTGGAGTTATCTGGAAGCTCTTGAAGAAGGCCTTCTGCCTCACTACAAGCCCGGGCAAATCTTTGTACAAGATAACGCTCGTATACACAAGTCCCACGACGCCCGCGAGTTCTTGGAGTCTCACGGCATCTGGGTGGCAGAATGGCCCCCCTACTCACCGGACCTCAACCCAATCGAGCACCTCTGGTGGGCTTTGAAAAAGATACTCCATCGCGACTATCCTCAATTCGCCAATTTTAGCAGAGCAGAAAGTGAGTGGGATGGCTTTTGTGAGGCTCTGAAGGCGTCGTGGCGGAAAATACCTAATGCGCTCATCAAGACCCTTATACTCAGTATGCCGCGACGACTAGAGGCTTGCCGTAAAGCCCGAGGGCGGCAAACGAAGTATTGAACACCAAATTATCGAAACTGCAAAAAAAATTCTGTATATAGAGTATTGTACGATAAATATTTACAAAAAGGTGGTGGCGGCTTTTTTGAGGATGGGGGCCGTGCGTTGTGCGGGAACCAGACTTTTGACGTAGTACTGTACAACAAAGTCGAGTTCACCGTGGCAGATATCGGCCTCATTCTCAAAACGCTCTGGCTCTGCGCCGACCTCATCACCTTCGTCCTGCCCATCCAGCGCGTCATCTTCCACGCACTCGTCCTCCTCTTTTCTTTCGGCTTCCGCCAGGGCATGATCATCGGGATGAAATACGAAGACGTCACCGTTGCCGTCATCCGGGACGAGGACAACCGGCGCCGTCTCGTCACAACCTTCAACATCAACCGCAACAAGCTCCGCGCCAACGCCCTCGAGCACACCAAAGGCGACTCTTTCGAATTCACCACGACGCTTCTCCCTTACGCGCTTTTCTGCCTGACGCATCTCGTCTGCGCGGTGGGGATCTATTTCGAAGCCTTCGAGGCCGATTATCAGTCTATTGATGAGATGCTCAGCACGCCAAACCTCGAGACAGTCGACTACGTGCACCTCAAATGGAAGAAGGACAAGCTGGAGGACCCGATTTTTCCCATGTCGTACACCTCCTTCTGGCGTACCCTCCGACGCGTGCTCCTCGTCGCGGGCTTCAACACCCTCGCACGCATCTACGCCTTCCGCCTCGGCGCGCTGATGGAGTACGACGGCTCCCTCACGTCCGCCGTCCGCAACTTCATCGCCAGCCACACCACCAAGATGTTCGAGGACAACTACCAGACCAAGCATGTGCGCGAAGACCTTGCCCACCACCGCTTCGGCGCCGCGGCAGGCGGCCAAGCCAACGGGCCCTTCTTCACCGCCATGCGCGACCTCTCCAAGCAGAGCGACCCCGGCGCGCCGATCGAGGCCTCGGCAGAGCAGAAGCGCAGCATCGAGAGCCGGCGCGACATTACCCGCATGCGCGAGGAGCTCGAAGCTGCCCAGAAGGCGCGCCCCTACAACAAGGCCGCTGTCGCCAAGGCCAAGGCCACACTCGACCAGCGCCGCCGCACGCTGTACGACCTGCTCCTGCAGAACGCGCGCGCCAAGTACTTTGCCGAGGCGAATGCGCTCCGCTCCGCCGGCAAGTCCACCGAGGAGCTCCGCGAGAAGTCCCGGCCCGCCAAGCGCGACTGCGACCATGCTATGGTGGACGTCGGCTGTCTCGTGGAGCTGTGGACGGGCGAGAGGGGCTTCGGCAACCGCAACCGCAAGAGCGCCGAGGAGCTTGTCTTTGACGTCAGGGCCGAAGGACGCTCCGAGAAGGCCATGACCTGGCTGGTCTCGTACGTGCGCAAGGCGTGGGACAGTCTGCGGCCCTCCCACATCGTCCCGATGCCGGAGCAAGCGGCCACGACAGATGCGGCGCTACCGAAGACGCGCAAGGCGAAAAAGACCAAGGGCACGAACGCGCAGCAGGAAGAGGACGGAGACAAGGCGGAGAAGACGTCGAGGGAGAGGGCGAGGAAGTGGAGGTGCCTTCTCTGCAAAGTCACGCCTTACAAGGACCGCTCCTCCCTCACACGGCACACCAAAGAGAAGCACATCGCCGGCGGAGACTTCAGCAAGAGTTTCTCCTGTCCCCAGTGTGTCCGCGATGGCCAGGCCCACCCCGCCGTCATCTCTGGCGCCGTCGACTGGAGCGAGCACACGAAGCGCATGCACCACAAGTTCTGCTCACCATGCATCACCGAGGAGGGCCTCCGAGACGGCGGCTCGGCGCCCGAGGCGTCGCGGCAGCAGAAGACGGCGGCAGCGGGCGTCAAGCCGGCGAAGCGGAAGCGGGAGAAGCCTGGCGAGGAGCCGGCTCCTCACACGGGGGTTTTCGTATTCGACCTCTCGAAGCCGGAGGCGGAGGAAGAGGAGGGGAACCCCCCCAAGAAGGCCCGGACCGCGGAGCCGGCCCCGCACCGCGCGCGACAGCATCGCCACCCGCGTCCTGACTCCCACGAAGCTTCCGCTTCGGACGAGCATCAGTCGCCGATGTTGTCAGCGCAGAGGAGGCAAAGCTCCTGCTGGCCCCTGTGCGCGATCGCTTGAGCGGCGACGGCGCCGCCTCCTCGTCCTGCATTTCCATGTCCGCGCCGGTGACCTCCGCCTCGTCCCCGTCGTTTCTCCTGCGCTTCCTCAGCTGCCTGCTGTTCCCAGGCCCTCCGCTGGTGCTGATGCTCGATGCTGTGGCCGCAGAGGCCTGCATGTCGACCGCCTGGACGACGTCCTCCGCGCCAGCCATGGAGGACTCTCCCGCCGCCTGCTTCTTCTTCTTCTTCTTCTTCCTCCTCCTGCCGGAGTCCTCCTCGATCAGAGCAAGCTCCTCCAGCACCCACTCCACCCTCAGCCGGCCGCGGCGCACCAGCGCCTCGTGCGCGAGGTAGTCCCTCGCATCCTGACGCATCCTTCTCATCTTGGCACACTGTTCTCGCATCCTGGCGCTCTGTTCTCGCACACGGGCTTTCAGGGCTTCGAGCGTCCGTGGCAGCGGCGCGTCTTCATCTGTCTCGAGGGCCACGCCCTCGTCCTCCTCAAGCAGCAGTTCCTCCATCGCCCGCCGGAACCTCGGTTCCGCGCTCCTCATTGCCGCGGCGTCCCTGTCGTTCTCCCAGCAGATGAAGTAGAGGTACTCGGCCCACGTCGTCCATTCGTCCTGCTCGCGGGGGTCCTTTGGCGAGGCTGAAGGGGCGCGTGAAGCCGTAGGACGCAAGGAGCTCCGTCATCGCGCTCTCGGCGGATGCGGAGCTCTGGGCACCGGTGGGCGAGGCGGCCTGCTTCGGCTGCTCGAACTGCCACTTCCGCCGGGCCATGCTCTCAAAGACGGCCTTGTCCGCAACGGCCTCCATCTCGCCCTTCTCCGTGTAGTCCTGCTTCATCGCGGCCACGAAGGCATCGGCGCCCAAGCGCCGCCCGTAGGCTCCGCGGTTGCCCCACTGCCAGTACCGCTGAAAGGACCGCCAGTGCTCCAGCTGCTTCGAGAACAGAGGCAGCACCTCGCCGTGCGCCGCGTGGTGCTTCTTGGGCAGGTCGAGCCACAGCGCCGCTCTCGCCAAGTTGGCGACGGTTGGAGGCTCATTTTAGACAACAGCTACGAAGTCGGGCACCAGAACGTTTAAAATAGACCGTGAACTCGGAGACAGGAGAACAAACATGGGGCCCCAGAACAAAAGCCAGAGAGCGTGCCCAGGTCCTGCAACGGGAATCGTAAAACGAGGCCCTGGCCGTTGATATCATACTCTAGTTAACTCAAGCGTGACAGCTCTCTTCTGCTTCCTTAAGGACATGGACCACTTCCGCCGCACCGCCGTTCTGCTCCGCCTAAAAACGTGGCGTTCGCCCTTTGCTGTCTAACTTCAGGGGGTCAGCGCCTATCTCTAACAAGTACTTAACAATGTCTACCTTCCTATTCTCTACAGCTCGATAGAGCGGTGTCTTAAGCCTAAATAGCTTACGCTAATAATATAACTTCAGATCGTTTGCGTATTTAATCTTGTTAATTAGTGCACCTTTCTCTACAATCTAGCGAACTACATCTAGACTGTTTAGTTTATTTCTTATAACAGCCTATTAGAGGAGTTCTTCGTAGAGTAGATCTACTTCTCGCTAAAAAAGATAGTTAATAATTTCGATAGAAGCTGTATACATAGCTAATAATGCGAGTATAAAGTTCTAATCGCAGCAGCTATTAGAATTAGCACTATAGTTAAGTAACTATTTAATTATCTTCTTATTAGAGGTATAGATAGAGATACTAAATATATATAAGTAAAGGTTAAGTCTTATAAGAATTAGAAGTAATACCTTAATATAGAAGGCTTATTTAGCCTAAACAGCTAGTTAATATCTAATCTATTACAAAGAAATAGTTCTAGTACCTTAAACGCTTACGTACGTATAGCTAGCTTAACTAGAAGATAACTATCTATAACGTTTTTATTAAGTAGAAACTACACTATTTCGACGTTATTCTACTAAATTACTTTAAGAAGTAAGTTATATAGCTACTCTAGATACGGTTTCTCTTCTATATATACTACCTTAGAGTTATAAAAAAGCTACTAGACCTGTTCTTTAATACTATTAAGATCTCTATTATAAGCAGCGTAATAATATATATTAACTTGTTTAGGCCTTGTATAGCAGAGGTAGAGATCGTCTTCTAAGAGTAGAGGTAGAGGTAGCAGAGTCTAGTAGAAGTGCATATTAGTAAAGTTAAGAAAGTTAGAATCTATAGCGTAAAGAAACGTTAGAGCTACTTTGCTTATAAGTGTAAGAAAAGTAGAGTTAACGTTGCACTAGCGCTAATTAATTAGAGACGCTTACGAGGCGCTTCTAACACTAATTCGCGGTAGTATATTCGTATAGCTTCTAAGTAACTATAGAACAGGCTAGCGCTATATAGAGACGTATACACGTTGTACTCTTAGTCTTAAGCACGGCTTATATTACTTTAAAAGTAGAATAAGTTAGAGTAATACGAGGCTTATACTTATAGATTAGCTTATATACTAGGTTTCTCTATCTAGCGCATATCTCTACCTAACGCACGATTAGCACGAAATTTTCTACACTTTGTAACTCGATTATTACTACTAATACTAACGCTATAGAGAACGCGCTAGAGGCGTTAAAGTTACTAAAGCTTAGAGAAAAGCCTAATTATACTTAGGTTACGAAAAAGTATAGCGTTAACCGCACTACGCTGTTAAAGCGTTACTAGGGGATATAGAGTACTCGTGCAAAGAAGATTAATAATATACGCCTTCTTAATACTATATAAGAAGAATAACTTGTATAGTATATTAATTAGCTCTATAGACAAGGCCTACTACCTATAAGAGAGATAATACAAAATTTCGCGTTAGAAATAGCTAAAAGAGAAGCTAGAAAAAACTAGGTAGATTAGTTTATCGCGCGGTACTCTATCTAGCTAATTTCTTAATAGACATTTAGTATTAATACTGCACGGCGCTAAGTAGACTCTGCCTTTAAATATCGCCTATATTTTAAGCTTCTAAACGATAAGATTACCTAGTACAACGTTAAGCCGTGTAATACCTATAATATAGATAAGAAGAGCTTTCTAATTAGAGTAGTAACTAAGATTAAGCGTGTATTCTTCTAGCATTAATATAAGCTAGAAGAAATTAAATAGCTTATTTAGAATAGTAATAGAGAGTAGATAACTATAATAGCCTATATTTACGCTAACGATAGTTACCTTACGCTCTTACTTATCTATTAGGCTGTTTTCGAAAACATACATCTCTAAGTAAATAGACGAATAATAAGCTAGAGCTAGCATAGCTTTAATAGATGTTTAATAAGAAAATAAAGGTAAAAGTAGAATAATTCTATTGTCTACTTATTCTAGATAGCTACAGTTTACATATTAGTATAGAGTTTATCGAATATTATAATAAGAATAGGATTCTTCTAGCTATATATTTACCTTATTTAACCTATACGCTGCAGCCTCTTAACGTCTATCTCTTTAAGCCTCTCTTAACTACCTACTCTGCTAAGCTTGCTAACTTTATGTATAACTACTAGGGCTTCTTAGCTATTATAAAAAGAGACTTCTTTTACATATTCTATAGCGCCTAGCATACAGCCTTTAAGGAAGATACAATTCTTAGAGCCTTTAAAGTTACTAGAATCTTACTATTAAACGCAGAGGTAATTCTTAAAAGATTTAGATTAGCAGAGACTAAGAGGCTCTTATCTAGCGAAAGTAGTACGTTAATACTTAGCGCTTTAGACTAGCAAAAAATTAAGCGCTTACTTTGTTAAGTAGTTAAAAATATCTATAATAAACGCTTCTAGTAGCTTAGCTAGACGATCTATACTATAGCGGTACAGAAAACGCTTCTCTAGCATAAAAACGAGCGACTTAAAGGGGCTCTTATTAATAAGAAGAAGCGCTAATAGCGTGGCAAGGCTCTACTACTTAAAGCGCTAAAGGAGTACAATAGTAGAGCAGTATTCTAGTCGCTATCTAAAGTTTAGAACGCTCGCTAGCAGTAGGCCTAAAAGAACGCCGACGAGCAGCTACAACAAGCCTAAAAGGATAAGGAGATAAAGCTTAAGAAGTAGAAGAAGCTAGAGAAAGCTGCTATGCTTAAAGAAAGGCGCCGCATAAAGCAGGTGGCGAAGAAAATACGCCTTTAAGAACAGCGCACGAAGGCTACGGCACGTGAGGAAGCTAGAATCGCGCGCGAAGTCGAAAAATAACTTAGAAAGAATATACAATTATTCTAAAAGGGTAATAGGCGTCGCCTTAAGGCTTCTACACCTTCTGCTAATGTATTTAAGAATACTAAGGTTAATAATGTAGATTTTTTATCTATCGTTAATATGGTGCCTATACTAAGCGCGGCTACGCGCACCCGCAAGGTACAGCTCCTACAGAGGTATCGCACGTAGTTTATCGTTGCTAATCGATTTATTAAGCTTCTGCAAGTACTACTCTAAAAAATCTAGTAATTTTACAATATATATAGAGCTCTACAGCTTTAAAAGTTATAGATAGAGGTATTTAAAAATCGTGCATTAGGTAGAGACGTGCGCTAGGTAGAGAAACCTAGTAATTAATAAATATAAACGAAGTTATAGTTAAGGCATCTTTTATCTACTATTCTAAGATATAGAAGAAAGAGATAGAGTTAAAACTATTAGTTACTATTAAGAAGCCTACTTAACCGCTATTCTAATCTGTTTATAATAGCGCTTATATTTAGTACTCTAGATCTAATTAGATAAGGTCTACTAGGTTTACTAACTTTACTACTAGGAATGTAGTACCGTAGTTATAGAAGAAGTTACCGTATAAGATTATAATATAGTAGAAGTAGAAGTCTTCTATATCTCTTAGACTACTATGCTCTCTATATATACTTAGACTATACTACCTCTAGCATCTATAAAAACAGAACTATAGTTAAGATAGTTAGTTAAGGTTAGAACTAGATATATTCTAGAAATATCTATATTTAAGCCTACGTTGCGTAGCTTCGTCTCTATAATTCTCTACTAGTCTAGAAGAGTAATACTATCGCGATATACTACGCAGACAATCTAAGAATAAGAACTTTTTAGAAAGTAGTACTAGTACTAGAGGTAATACTACGTAAGGTAGTCTATAAAAGATTATATATAATTATTGCTAGTAAGAGAGTTATTAGAATTAGTATTATCTAGAAGAAGTAATACGTGTCTAAGAAGTAACGTATATAAAGAAATAATAAGAATAATAGAGTATAACTTAAGCCTATTCGTTCTAATAGAAAAAGAAGTTTGTAAGAAGAATGCTATATTAAAAGTATTTATACAAATTTCTTTTACTTCTCGTCTTGTAATAGTTGTTTAGAATCGACTTTTAATTAGAGTAGCTATTATAAGTAATAAGAATACTACTTAGCCTATAAAGAAAGAGTATTATTACAATTATAGAATTAACTAGGTAAGAAACTACTCTAAAGGTAGACTAGAGAGAAGAGCTACAAAGTAGAGAATAGCTACGTAAGAAGTTACGTAAGAAAAGGTATAGTAATTCTAGTTATATAATAAGAATTATACTAAGAAGATAATCTTATAAATTCTATTAGAATTAGTAGAATTATACTAAGAGAAAGTCTAGATAAATATAAAGCTTATACTACTAGTAAAGCTAGTAACTTAGTAAAGATAATATATACTACTCTAAATAAATATATATACTATAGTTAGAGCTAAATAACTATAAATATAAAGTAAAAGAATAGATTTAAATACTTTCTAGATTAGATACTAGCTATAGTATAGATATACTATTATATACTAATATACTTTACTATTAAACGCCTTATAGTACTAAATAGTCTATAATTTCTAAGTAAGAAAAATTAATAAAAATTAATAGATTTTTCTTAAATAACTAAGTAAAACCTAAATATTTTTCTATAAAGATTTAAATATATATAGACCTTTACTAAATATATCTACTACTAAATTTATACTATATATTTTCTATTATATAAGCTTAAGATAAGTCTTTTTCTAAAAGTAGCTATTCTTAGAGTTTAAATCTTATAAGTACTAGTAGATCTTTATAATAATTTATAAAACTTTAAAGATATATTATATACTATAGTATAAGACCTTTAATAAAGTTTAGTAGCCTAGAACTATATAGTATTTAGATATTAAAAAAAGAATCTAAGAAGTATCTAATTTTTATTTTATTCTACTAACTTACCTTTTTCTAATTATAATTAAGTTCTACTATTATCTATATACTTACTTTATTATATAGTAATAATTTATAAAGTTTTATAGTCTAATATATAAGATAAGTTAATATAATATACTTAATAAATAAATAATCTAGATAAATAAACGTACTAAAAATACTAAGTATAAGAAAATTAATAGGTTTTTCTTAGATAACTAAGTAAAACCTTAATATTTTTCTATAAAACTTTAAATATATATTAATCTTTAGACTTATAACTTCTATTAAATTTATACTATATATTTTCTATTATATAAGCTTAAAATAAGCTTTTCTCTAGAATTAACTATTCTTAGAGTTTAAACTCTATAGGTACTAGTAAACCTTAATAATATACTATAAAACTTAATAATATACTATAAAACTTAATAGATATATTATATATTATAGTATAAAGACTTCTATAAAGTTTAGTAGTATTTAGCTTAGTAATACTAGAAATATTAGCTTAAAGAGTTTCTAAAAAGAAGTTTAGAGGTTTCTTCTAGAAATAGATAGATATTACTAGTAAATATACTATATTATCTTTAGAATAACTTTATACTATAGTATATAATATATCTTTAAAGTTTTATAGATTATTATAAAGGTTTACTAGTACTTATAAGGTTTAAACTCTAAGAATAGCTACTTTTAGAAAAAGGCTTATTTTAAACGTATATAATAAAAGATATATAGTATAAATTTAATAGAAGATATATATAGTATAGCTCTATATATATTTAAATTTTTATAGAAAAATATTAAGGTTTTACTTAGTTATTTAAGAAAAACTTATTAATTCTTATACTTAGCATTTTTAGAGCGTTTATTTGTCTAGAGCGTTTATTTATTAAGTACGTTACTTAACGTACTTTATAAGCAAGATAGTTATATAAGCAAGCTAGTTACTTTCTCTTAGTAATATAAATTAACTTATTTTTCTTTAATAACTAAGCAAAACCTTAATAGTTTTCTATAAAATTTTATATATATATTTTTTTATAGTATATTATATCTTATACTAAAGTTACACGAAGATATATTACGTAATTAAAAAGCTATACGTATTTAACTAACTTTTAGAAAAAATCTAGTTTTCTTCTAGTAAGTACTTATTATATCTCTATAATAATCTATAAAACTTATAGTATATAGTATTTATAACGTAGTAAAGGTTTCTAGAAAATTTCTATAGCGCTAGCTCTTCTAGGTATAGCGTAATAAGAGATAGAAGTTTATAAAAAGCCTTTCTAGAGTTTTCTTCTCTAACTATATATATATATTAATAATCTAGCTATATAAAGTTATATATTATAAGATTATATATACTATAAGCTTTCTATATATTTAGAAGTAATAATTTTAAAATAGTTTTAGTATCTTTCTATCTTTCTATACTATACTACTAAAAAGACTTTACTTTTATATAACTATTTAAAGCTACTATATTATTAGTTAATAAGCTCTATATAGTTAAAGCCTACTATAATTTATAAAATAATAAGTTTTTATAGCTAGATTAACTATATATATATAGAGTTAGAAGAAGAAAGCTCTAAGAAGAAATTTTTCTAACTTCTATCTCTTATTACGCTATACCTAGAAGAGCTAGCGCTATAGAAATTTTCTAGAAACCTTTATTACGTTATAATTACTATATACTATAAGTTTTATATATTATTATAGAGATATAATAGTACTAACTAGAAGTAAACTAGATTTTTCTTAAAAGTTACCTAAATACGTATAGCTTTTTTATTACGTAATATATCTTAGTGCAACTTTAGTATAAGGTGTAATATACTCTAAAGAATATATATATAAATTTTTATAGAAAGATATTAAGGTTTCGCTTAGTTATTTAAGAAAAACGAGTTAATGTTCGTTGATTTTTCTTGCCAAGAAATCGTAGGGCTTTTAGTAATATAAGGCTTTCGGTAATAAAGTACGTTAGAATCTAATATTATTCTAGATATATCTTAGCTAGAATAGTAGAACCTTTAACTTAACTTTCTAGCTAAAATATTCTTCTAGAAATTATAATAGTATTATTATTATAAAATTATAATATAAAAGCTATCTAAATTTAAATAATCTTTTAGAAATAATAATAACTATCTATATACTCTTTATATTTAGAAAAGTCTAGAAGAATCTAAACTACTATAATCTATTTTAATATACTATATACTCTAGAAGAAGATTTTTAATAAAAACTAAGCTATAAGACTATCTACTTTTAATAACTAGATTCTTTCTATTAAACTAGAATCTAGAATAAAATCTCTATATGGTCTTCTATATAACCTATTCTAAGATAAAATAATAGTTCTATAAGATTATCTAGATAAGTATCTTATAAAAAAGTAAATATAATAATTATTCTCTTTAGTAGAAGCTTTAATTCTATTTATTAAGAAAAGAAATAGAGAATATTATCTTTATATAGATTATTAAAGCTTAAATAAAGTAATAGTTAAGAACTATTACTCTCTACTACTTATATAGAAGTCTCTAGATAGATTAGAATAAGCTAGTATCTTTTTAAAGTTAGACCTATAAGACGCCTACTATAGAATCTAGATTTATAAAAAAGATAAATAGAAAACTATCTTCTAGACTTAAT